TCCGCCGGGCGTGCAGATCGGGGGGGGGGTACATGTCTCCTGAGGCTCCACTCGTCCCACTGCCCCAGCCCCTGCTCCTCTCTGTGCCCTGCTCCCTCCTTCCCCACTGTGGCCTCCATCTGTCTTCCCCCCCCATCCTTACCCCTCCCCCAGGCCCTTCCCCCACATACTTAGCTGCTTGGGGAGGGGGTGCAGGTGCTCAGCCCCCCTCCCCCCCCCAAATAATCTTTTATACCTCTGCCTGCAAGGAGGACAGTAACACCTGGCATTGTAGTGCACATAAAACATTGCATTTGAAACAGTGGTGCTGTAAACATGCATGCTTCTGCCCGGGTGCTGTTTGGGATTAGCAAACTGAAGCACTAAGATAATTGTGATGGGGGGGGGGGGGGGGGGGGGGGGAGGAGCAGCAGGGCAGGCCCTACAAGGAGAGGCTACGGGACCTGAACCTGTTCAGCCTCCACAAGAGAAGGCTGAGAGGGGATTTAGTTGTTGTCTATAAACTTATTAGGGGGAGCGGGGGGAACCAGAGGGGAATGGGTGAGATCCTGTTCCTCCAAGCACCTCCCGGAGTAACAAGGAATAACGGCCACAAGTTGATCGAGAGTAGGTTCAGACTAGACATCAGGAGGCACTGCTTCACAGTCAGGGTGGCTAGGATCTGGAACTAGCTTCCAAGGGAAGTGGTGCTGGCTCCTACCTTAGAGGTTTTTAAAAGGAGGCTTGATAACAACCTAGCTGGGGTCATATGAGCTTAACTTAGTGGGGGTCATATGAGCCCAGTATTCATTCCTGCCCAGGGCAGGGGGTCGGACTTGATGATCTGCTCGGGTCCCTACGACCCTACATCTATAAATCTGAATTGCTAGTCCCAACTAGTGGAAAAGTCGGTACATTTTGTACATAGCAAATAATTTGTTTTTCAACAGGTGAATGATGCTGAAAGCACAGTTGCAGTGGAGTTTACTCCCACAATTCCTCACTGTAGTATGGCAACATTAATTGGCTTGTCAATAAAAGTAAAGTTGATCAGATCGCTACCTGAAAGGTTTAAGGTGAGTAATAACAGCAGCCTTGACAGGAGAAGGAAGAACGTTAAAGAAAAGAAACTGTTTAAGGCTTCTCATTCCCTTGTGCTATGAAATGAGGAAAATACTCCAGGAAACTGATTAAGTTACAAGCAGGCACAGTTATCAGTCTGATTCTTAGAATAAATTAGACTGAATGGGATCTGTGGTGAGAAATAGTATATAACATTTAGTGTTAGTGATCCTTGGTGGAAGGGAGATTATCCCCTTTTTGTAAAAGGATAGTCTGAGGGCAAGGAAGAAAGTTTTCTACCGTGACCAGTCCAAAAGGGGAGTTTACAACCAAAGTAGGATTAAAATATAGGAGTTTCCAATTAATGGTTTTAGGATCAGATGGCTGCACCATATCCTTATCCTAATGAAAGCTTATGCTGCGTTGAATATTGTGGAGGAGGGTCTGGCAGGAGATGGTAACTTGCCAAGGACTATGTTTTCTTGTTTCATTATGAAATTGTTTTGGTGGAAATGTTAAATCTTAAAGGAACAGTATTAATGAGATGTCTTTGGACTAATACAGGGGAAAATAGTTTGACAAAACTACTTTAAGTAGCACAGCTAGAATTTATTTTTAAACATTTTTAAAGACTTTCTTCCCATTGTCTTCCCAACTTATTATAATATTTGAAACAAGGAAGAAACTGACCAAGAGAGGGAGAGGGACCATGAAACTTACCAAAGCCTAAGTATTGTCAGATGTGAAAAGTAAACTCTTAAAAAATTGCTTTAATACATGTAGTTGCATGTGATACCAGTGAGTGTGTAGGCATGAGTGTGAAGCTGACAAATGACCCTGATGGGTTTTTTTTGAGTGGGACTATAATACTAGATGCTGCTTTCTGAACTGCTGAACTAAAGCATTTTTACTTTGACCTCACTCCACATCTAAGCACCAACCTAGTGCAAGTTAACAGTCTTATAAATAACTGGATTACATTTCATTTTACTTAGGTTGATGTTCACATAACGCCAGGAACACACATCTCTGAGCATGCAGGTGAGCTTTTCCCTAGTGCTAAGATACATAAAAAGTGTTCTGCAAAAGTATTTCATTGTTTATAAACCTTGGAAATTAGAGAGATTAGATCTGAAGGTCACTGAGTGCAAGAGAGCAAACTAGAAGTCGGGGAAGTGTGTTACAGGATTCCACGACCCTTGGCCCAGTATCCATTAAATTCAACAAAATGGATTGGGATGGTAGCTGAAGAGATGCAGCAAGAAACCAAGGGGTTGACATTTAGATTCTGGTCCCTCAATGTGTTTCAGGCAGTTAAACCTACACAAAGCTATAGTGGATGAACTAGGGTTGTGTGGCGCACCGAGGTCCAATCGTCTTGGGGGGGGGGGGGAGTGATGCTCAACTGCTAAGCACAATTCTGCGCACATTCAGCACTACCAAATTGTGAAAAACATGGGGCCCTGCCTACCATAGCAACAGCCTGAGGAAGAGTCAGCTTGTATGTAAAATGTTAACAATGCGTTGCTGTGCTGAGGTACCCTGACCAAGCATTGTGGGACTCTTTCCTTACAGTAAACAAACAGCTTGCTGACAAAGAGCGAGTAGCTGCTGCTTTGGAGAATTCTCATTTGTTGGAAGTGGTGAACCAGTGTTTATCTGCTCGATCTTAACTGCCTGATAAGAAGCTCTGCTTTTCTGATATGGTGGGCTAACTTTGTAAATAAACAGTGCTGCTAGTATTTAGTTGGATATGTATCTATAAGCAAAATAAAGCTATTCTAATTTTGAGTTTTATATAAGTGTTCTAGTACTCTTCCAAGAGTTAACCTATGGAAATTAACTTAAGAGTGATAGATAGTGTGTCCAAAATACTGTTAATGTAATATTACAGTTTTATTTTGTCAGAAGAGGATTTTAATATTTATAATATTTAATTCAGGAACAGCAACACAAATGTTTCCCCTCACAGTACAAAACAAATCATAAAATAAAGACTAATTTCTACATACCTTGGCCACGGCCCTCACTGTCTTAAACCAAGAATTATTTATATTCTGGATTTGGGAATGTGTTGTGCACACTGAGTAATGGTTTCGGTCTCTGTCTTCTTGGCACATGAAGACAGGCATTTTCACTTGTTGTTTCGCTCATATTAAACTTCAGAAGTGGAGTTTTTTTACAGTTCACATTTGCAGACAAATTTGCAGGGTTTTGGGATGCTTATACAGCAATAAACACGCACTTTAAAAAAACTAGCCTATTTTCTTAAAGTAATTTTATATGCATGGTTATATGGAGCTCTCCTGTAGTTGGTACATCTAATTTGTCATAAAATGTTAATCTGAATTACTTGGATTTTGTTGGCAAAAAAGCCTGTGACACAAACTTACAAAACGCTTCCTGTTTTGAAGCCTGATGCTGATGTGCTATCAGAAACGAAATAGCAAGTGATCTGAAGAGGCTCTGCATTCATTACAACTCAAGGAAGGGACAAATGTGCCTTCAAGCCAGTTCTGGTTCGACTTTGCTGCAACATCTCACTCTCTACCCCTGCAAAGTCTGACACCATGAAAGGAGTTTTAAGTTTTATCACAAACTGCTTAGAAAAAGACACAGCCTAATATTTGCTAATATTTGCCAATATTGACAGAACTAACATTGAGAATCTATTTACTTTGCTTTGCTGTTTGGTAGCAGTTCTTAGGCAGAGGCACACAAGCAGCAGCACCCAGAGATTTTTTTATTTTATTTATTAGTGTCATTTTACAGTAAAGAACTCATTCTTTGAAGTAAAGGTCAATGTATAGAGACTGCATAATTTGAAGATGTACAAATAGAGTAACAATCTCTAATTAAATTCCATTTAATTAATAAATATAGCTGAGTATCACCTTACACTGTTTTGTATTTAGAGTCTGCCATGCTTGGTATGTGTTTTCAAAGACTGGTGCATTGGGGTGAATTCTAGGGTGGTTTTTGTCCTCTTGCTGCTATCTTCAGGCTCCCTGTGAGACCTTGATTTACAACTTCTGGTTAAGAAGTCTTCAGAATTCAAAATGGGAAACTGGAAACCTTTAAACAGAATTTAAATAAATCCACCTTGATACTGTATAACAATGGCAAATGTTTCTTTCACCTTTGCATCCTAGGTTATACAACATATACTGTAGAAAATATTTCTGCCTCCAAGTCAATTCATGTGGAACCTAGTTAACTAGTTTTGGTGGGAAGGGAAGTCAAAACATATGATGTAGTTGCAAAAAATTGTTCAGAGGTCAATTAACTAAAAGAAAAAATTACTGTCAGTTTGCTTTGGATTTTTTAGCAGCACTTCTTATTTCTGCACCTTAACAGACCAGGGATTTACTCAGTAACCAGAGGCTGCAGAAAAGATAGCTGGAGCATCCAGTGCAACTTCTGTGTTTTGCAGAATAAGTCACAACATCATTATCATGCATGTCCTCTTAAACAGTTCTTTCTAGCACTGTTGGAATGACTGCTCACTATCTCAAAAAGTGATGACATCCTGAGGAATAGAAAATAAGAACATGACACTTAACATTGACACTTACCAGGAAGGGGGTGGACTTCTGAAAACTTCATATGCATGGACGATACAAGGGCAGGTTTGTTCCTGTGATGACAAAGCATTGAGACAGTCTTTAGGAAACGTCTGTTCATGTTCTGTGCAAAGACACGTATGTATGTGTATGTATAAACCTGTGCTTTGGTTTCAAGAACAATCTAAGTGCTGGTAACTCAGTAAATGGCTCTCTTCTGAATTCACACTCCTAGCTGGTGAGGGAGGGAGGCTGTGCTGCTGAATTTACATTCTCACAGAACTGGGATCTGGTTGCTTGCACTTGCTAAAATATCCCTGGGAACATCCTTCAGGGATTAGTGGTAGTCATCTCCGCAACCTAGCTAAATTTCATCCTTGGCATCCTAAAGAATAAGGAATGTATTCAGGTCTTTCTTTACTGGTGTATCTCTTTAAATGCACATGTGTAGCTTCTATTCGGAGATGCGTGTGTGCATATGAAAGTAAAATTTTGCTCTTTGCTGAGGTATTTTACCTTGCAGATAATACGGGGGGGGTGTGTGTGTGTGTGTGTGTGTAGTCATAGGTCGAGTGTGATGATAACCTTGTGACATCTGCTCACTATACCACTAAGTAATGGTAATGACTATGACTAACCATTAATGAATATACTTGCAGCATAATGGTCCTTAACCTTTGCTGGCTCATGGACAGTTATACTGAGCAGATAATGTGCTGTAGGCAGCATCATACTTCCCTGTCAGTCTCTGTCTTGACTTTATTTCTTGTGGCCAGGAGCATTGTCAGAGAGTTTTGACCATGCTTCCTCCAAGTCATGGGTTGGGACTACTGTTGTAGTACACAGCTGTTTGGAGTCATCTTGAGCTAAGGGGCTACATAGATCTGATACAAATAGATATTAAAACTTTAATAGAGAATGTTGCATCTTTAGCCAGAGTGCTAGGAAGAGATGTTCCACTCGCTTTATCCCAGGAGCAGAATGCTGTAACCCAGGGGCGTGGGAGTGCAATCTTTTTGGCAAGTGTGCTGCCATAGCCTCCAGTGCCACTCTAATCCCCTTCATCTGCCTAGTAAGCTGCTCTGCCTCCTATCCTGTGCACCCTGATTTTGCTGCTTTGCTTCCTGCATCCTGCCACTGTGTTGCCTGTCTTCTCCGTGATCTGCCATGTGCCACTTGTGGCACCCCTGCTGTGGGTTGGCCACCGCTGCTGTAAACAAACTCACCGAATAGCGGGCAGCCTCAGTTCTTGGGAGTGCTTCCATCTTGCCAAAAACATTGGGGATATCTTGTGTTTTCTGGTATAGAGAAGCAGGTTCCCAACAAGATGAGGTTTCTTCCTGCACCTGGGCAAGGACAGCATTTTTATCGCTGTCTATTTAAGGGCTAAGACAGGGGTTGTCAAATGGGGGTATACATACCCCGAGGCGTACTTAGGTCTTTGGGGGTGTGCGTGGGTGAGAGGACGGAATAGGCGCGGCGGTTGCGTCTCCCCCAGCGTGTTCGCCCCTTACCCGGCGGAGGGGTACGCTGGACACCGCCAGCCCTACATGGCATATTGTGGTGCCTCCCCACCCCCAACCCCAGCTTGCTCTCCTGCACGGCCGCTGCCCCCATCCGGTAGCCAGTGGTGGCTGTTGTGGCTGTTGTATACAAGCTCTCCCCCAGTTTGTGCCCCAACCCCAGTGCTGCTGCTACATGCACCCCTGGGGACATGGGGGGCATGTACCCCTGGATCTGCAAGCAGGGTGGAGCAGGCTGGGGCCAGGGCTATGCTGGGCTGTTCCTGATGGGGAGGGGCTGAGCTGGGCCATGCTGCACTTGGGGCAGGCAGCGCTGGGAAGGGGGGTTGGGTCTATGGCAAATTCTGGAGTGGCTGCATCCCTTCCTGTAGCCCCCCTGCCAGTGCTGCCACCCACCTAGAGCAGCCAAGCCCACCAGGAAAAGCCCAGGGCTGCCCCAGCCCATCCAGTGTGCAGATCCAGGGGTACGCAGCTCAGTCCCAGGCTCCTCCCAGCCATGCAACACTTGCCCCTGCCCCATTCCCTCCCTCACCACAGGGGCCTACGGAGGGAAGGGGGCTGCAGCTACTCCACAATTTGCCATAAGCCCCCCCAACCCTCCTCCCAGCACCACTGCCGCCTTCCCCTAGCAGAGCCTGACCCAGCCCCCACCCCGTGCAGATCTGGGGGCAGATGCCCCCACCCACCATGCCCTCCCTGGGGTGCACACAGTAGCAGGAGCCACCGCCCAACCCCTGCCGGGCAGCCCCTGCTCCAGCTCCACTCCCTCCCTTGCTGCTGGGACCAGCCTGCCTTTCTTTGCGGCTCCGTCCTATGCCCTGCCCCAGCTGTGCAGTGCCTGCCCTAGCCCCGCTCCCTCCCACACCGCAGGGGCCTCTGTCCCACCCCACTTAAAAACAAGAAAAAAATATAAGGGGCACAGGAGTCAGAAGGGGGACACACTATAAAAGGTTGAAAACCCGTGGACTGGGACATGACAACACAGGCAAGCAACATGTTCCGGGCAGGTTGAAGGAACTCGGGAGGACTCAAAGCAGTGAGGTAGCTTTCCCACCCCCTTCCCCTGAGCTGCATTGTGTGCTCTGTTGCCACATGGATAATTGCAGGCCGATGTGACAAAATGGTGGTTTGAAAACCTACTCGGTGGCTTTGGCTTGAAACACGCTAACTATGTACTCCGATGGGAGCAGGAGTACGGTACCTTCTCAGTAGCTGTCTCTCTGCTACATGATTGAAGCTCAAATACCCAAGTGCGACAGCAGCACAACTCTGGACCAGGACTACTGAGCTGGAGAGGAGTTGGAATAATACGCCAACTGCATCTATGGAAACCAGAGCAGCAGTGATTCCTGGAAGAATGCAGACACAGGTGTATACAGCATATATTTGATGTCATCTCCATCCTCCCAAGGCACACGTCTCAGATACCTATTTTTCCACTTGGAAATGAGTACAGCGGTAGCATATGCGCTGCTCTTTACCTGCGCGGGTGTGTGCTAAACGGGCCACACAATCAGCAGCCAAAGCCAGTGTGTGGTGTGCTTGGGAACGTTCCAGTGTATCCACAATGGTTCTGATCCCTATGGCAGTGATATTAGCTGGCTCATTATCTGGAATGATTCGAGACAGAACAATGGACTGCAAGAAAACATTACACAGAAAAAATAACGTTCAGTAGAGCTCTACCTCCAGTCACCCTAATGCATCAGTCACCTGAGACTGATATTGGTTGTTAGGCCAACTTATTGTTACTGACTGATCTAAAGAGTTTCATAGCTGAACGGAGGGATTAAGACAGGCACGCTCAGTGTCATAAATCAGAGACACTGGTTTATTTGAACACGATGACGCTAGCTGGTACCCAAGGTAGCACATGCTGCAACTTGTTAAGGTAAACCGTCTCCCCCACCTCTCCCAGTGCCTTGGGGAAAAGAGAGAGGCTTCTGCCTTGCTTGTGCTTCTTTATAAGGGCAAACCGAAAGAGTTTAAGTAGATTTGTACATGTTTTACTGGAAAAAAAGGCAGGGGGAAGGAAAAAACATGGACTTTAACACAGAGTCAACATTATGGGGGCTCGTAATCCCTCTGCAGAGTAGCCCAATGATCTCAAACCCAGCTGGAGCCTCTAGTCACTAGACTCACATAAACTAGATGCATGCATACAATATAATACATAGTTAAATTAGAAACAATAGGCTCTCCTAGCCCATACTGGATACCTTCAAGTCAGCTGGCCCTGACAATCTGCACCCCAGGGTACTCAAGGAGCTGGCAGGCATCATAGCCCAGCCTCTGGCACAGATCTTTGAGAACTCCGGGTGCTCTGGTGTAGTGCCCAAAGACCTGAAGAAGGCCAATGTGGTGCCTATCTTCAAGAAAGGGAGGAAAGTGGATCTGCCAAACTACAGGCCCATCAGCCTGACCTCTATCCCGGGGAAGGTCTTAGAAATGTTTATTAAAGAGGCCATCCTTAATGGACTAGCCAACACCAACACCCTGAGGGATAGGCAGCATGGGTTTGTTGCGGGTAGGTCTTGCTTGACCAATCTCATTTCCTTTTATGACCAGGTGACCTATCACCTGGACAAGGGAGAAAAGATTGATGTCATATATCTTGACTTCAAAAAAGCCTTCGATCTGGTATCCCATGATCGCCTCTTGGCGAAACAGGCCAATTGTGGCCTTGGGTCCACCACGATCTGCTGGCTGGGAAATTGTCTCTGTGGTCGGACCCAGAGAGTGGTGGTTGATGGAAGGCAATCATCATGGTTCCCTGTGACCAGTGGGTTCCCCCAAGGCTCTGTCCTTGGACCCATATTGTTCAACATCTTCATTAATGATGTGGACATTGGAGTCAGAAACGGACTGGCCAGGTTTGCCGATGACACCAAATTTTGGGGCAAAGCATCCACACTTGAAGACAGGAAGGCGATCCAGGCTGACCTGGACAGGCTCAGCAAATGGGCAGACGAGAACCTGATGGTGTTTAACACTGAAAAATGCAAGGTTCTCCACCTTGGGAGGAAAAACCTGCAGCATCCTTATAGGCTTGGCAGTGCTACACTGGCTAGCACTACGGAAGAAAGAGACTTGAGGGTCATCATTGACCACAAGATGAACATGAGCCTTCAATACGATGCTGCGGCTAGTAAAGCGACCAAAACGCTGGCTTGCATCCATAGATGCTTCTCAAGCAAATCCCAGGACATCATTCTCCCCTTGTACCTCGGCCTTGGTGAGGCCGCAGCTGGAGTACTGCGTCCAGTTTTGGGCTCCACAATTCAAAAAGGATGTGGAGAAGCTTGAGAGAGTCCAGGGAAGAGTCACGCGCATGATCAGAGGTCAGGAAAACAGAGAGTACGATGACAGGCTGAGAGCTATGGGGCTCTTTAGCCTGGAAAAGCGCAGGCTCAGGGGTGATCTGATGGCCACCTATAAGTAAGAAAAATGTCTGCGCTGGAATAGCTTACCTGGAAAGCAGCCTGTATTCTGTGAATCTCTTTGCTGGACTGCAGGAATGGTTGAAAGTGATGCCATCTAACTCCCCCTGCTCGAATGATTGCTCGCTGCTCACTGACGTTATTGAAAGCAAATGTTGCTAAGGCCCCGGCCGTCAGAAGGCGAATCTCTTCCTCAGATGAATATAGCAGGGGAAGGATGTACCTGTACTGGAAGGCTGAACTCTGGGAAAGTATCTCCAAGTTTTCACTGTTGCCTGAATGAAGAGCAGGAAAAAAACAAGTCATTTATCTTTTCCAACCCCAAATTTCCCAAGAAACCCATGAATTATGAGCTGGCTCTTATGTGTGACATAATATCTACTGAAAACATAATAAAAGCACTCAGAGTGTAGCTTTGAAATCAGTTGTCATTGGCGGTGTTTATATTATGTGAAAAAGCCCTTCCAAAATTTTAAACAAACTAGGTGAAGTTCTGGTCCCAGTGAAGTCAGCAGGAAGTTTGCCATTAACTACAGCTGAACTCATGGTAACACCCACTGCTTTCCTTTAATGTCTTTATTGTTTATAAAGTGAAGAGAAATGGAAATAAAAGGAGTAGTTTGTTTAAACACAGCCAGAATTCTGGGATTCTGGTAAAAGCGTAGTTGCGTATTACAAAATATGAGTGTTGACGATCTGCTTGAGGGATAAAAGAGGAGCTAGGGGTAAGTTAAAGGGGAAGGGGACAAATAATGTGGAAGGAGAGAGAAACGTTTACGGAGTTCAATAACACCTGCTGTAGAAATAGGCTCTGAACAGCTGAGGAGTGCTCTGGTCCCTTCTGACGACATGCCTTTGCTGGACTGTGTCAGATGCAAGTGTAATGAGTTGTAGCTGCAGAATGCAAGGTGGATTCCTTCCCTTTGAGATCCCTGCACTGACTTGAACAGCTGGATATGGCAAACAGATGCCATTATTGTCTATGAGGATCAAATGATGGTCTGCAGCACTTAGGCAGAGAGTATTTTCACAGAAGCCTCTATCCTTTGAGCTAAAGGAAAGTCCATAAGCTGAGAGCAACCAGCAGAAGGTCAGCCATTGATGCCACCCCCTGTAGGCTGATGTGGTCAAATGAACCAAATCAGCATGCACCCAAAAGGGCTGAGGACAGTACTAACTGCTAGACATGAGTTTTAAGGCAGTCAGTCATCTTGTTAGAGACAGTTTAGATTATTCAAACTAATGTTTTGGGCGTTTTTCCTAGAAGCAAATTAACCATTCATTGGTCAGATAAATTAAGTAACTGATATGCTGTTAACAAAATGAAATACATAAAGCAAAGAGTCTAAAGACAAACTGTTGGTCTGCCAAAACTGAATTGCCCCACAACTGTGGGATTACAAGTTTCTTTGCAAACTGTAAAATGGACACGGCTAAATGAAAACCTTTTTTACCCTTCTATCACTCCTTAAGTAGCCTTATGTAAGCATCTGCTTCTGGAAATGGAAACACAAGCATGCTTTCTTACACCTTTTGCAATAACATGCAGTAAGGGTGCCCTGTAAAGAAGATAGAGGACTGGCAAAATGGACAGGGCAGCTATCCCCTGCATCACATTGGACAGCATACTTTGTCACTTTTTTCTAACTGTATAACGTGGATAATTAGAACTAGTCTTCCTTACAGAGTAGTTGCACAGCTACTTCATTAATGTGTGTAAATTGCTTTAAGGCTCCCCAAGGGTAAAGTATGATTGCCATACAGGACTGACACAATGCAATTTGTGCATGTATACGGACTATTTATTCACCAGGTTTTCCTGGTACAGTACAGATACTTACACAGCTGAAGATATTGTGTGACCAGCATGTGACATCTCACACTAGTGGTGCTCAACATTTTTTGCCTGGCAGGTGGAATGGTTAGTGCCCAGTAAGTATCTTGATCAGTGTCTGGTGGGCAGGCCCCATCCAGTTGTGTAAAAGAGGGCAAAGGAGCAGCCTGGTCCCAACCCAGCCCACGGGGGAAGGGAGCTTGATCTAGCTCTGTGGGGGGGAGGTGGCATGGCCCTGATCCAGCTGCAAAGAGGAGGGGGTGCAGCATGGCCCTAATCCAGCGATAGGGAAGAGAGAAAGGGGCATGGTCCAGCCCCAACCCAGCCACGGGGGGGGGGGGGACGCAAAGGGGGAACAAGGGGCATTGCCCAGCTCCAACTCAGCGTGTAGGGTTTGGGGTTTGGAAATCTATCAAGAGGGAGGGTGGCCATACTGTCACTCATGCCCCACTGCCAAATTTTCTGACCCATGGGGAGCCCCGCAGGCCAAAAGTGATGGCTCTGCAGGCTGCATTTGGCTTGCAGGCTGGAGGTTGAGCATCCCTGTCTCAGACAATTGCTAAAAAGATTGAGGCAGAGGGTACTGAGGCTGGGAGTTAGGACAAGTAGGTCTTTGGTTCTTTGTATTTTCAATAGCTGTTGCTCAATTTGAAGTTTTCCCTGGATCACTGTCCTGCATTTGGACAACTGGTCCAAGTTATCTTAGTGCTTCAGGGTGCAAATCAGTGGTTTCAATGACTAATATTTTTCTTTGGTGATTTGGTTCAAATGTGAACGTTGCTTAGTCCACCCCTTGTTTTGTTTTTTTAAACAAAGGTGCATGTTGTGTGGGGACAGAAGACTTTACTGGTTTGAGGTCATTTCTTTTTAATACCCCCTAAAGAAGTGCAGCTGATTTTCAAAATGAGTAAAGACCAACATATACCAGGACTCTGCTCCTTTGCCTGAAGTCAGCTAATACAATATTTGGGAATTGAGGAGGGAATTGTTTAAATATCACTGCCATATTAACTTTGGAATGAGGCAACTGTACATGTGCATATTTGGAGTAGCCAAATGATTTTTTGCTGCGAACAGTACTTTGAGCTTGCAAAACTTCTTTTATGCAAGTATTGCAAACCTCTCTACAAATATTAACCCTCACTAACCTACAGGAGGCAGACAATGTTAAATTCATTTTTCACTAGAATAAACTGAGGCATGGAAAGTTTAGGGGGCTTCTCCAAGGTCGCAAGCAAGGAAAGGACCCAGGAGCTTTCTCTGGATCCTTTGTTCTAACCAGGCTGGTTGTTTCCCCACAGTGCTCAGCGTGATCCCAACACCACTTCCTCCCAAGCATGTATCACACTCTACTTTACTGTCTAATCATTTTTGTTAGCAGCTGAACTCAGGCTCGAGTATTATTCAGTGTGCTTTACCTAGGACCACAGCACTCAGGGTGTAGGCTGCCTCTGCCTGGATTGCTTCAGACGGAGAATGTATCATCAATGCTAGCAAAAACTTGAGACCCCTGGAATTAGCAATGGCTATTTGGTTCTTGTAGTGTGGAATGTAGCCTAAGAACAAAGTTGGAGAAGAAAAAGTAAAAGTTAAACCTTTTAAAACATTTTTTTAACAAACAATGTCATTTAAATTTTCTACAGTTCTTCATAATGGAATCTGTCCCCTCAAACACATGCCCCTTTGGACCAGATATGTGGGATACAAGCAAGCTAAGCCAACTTTTCAAGAGGCTCTTTTTGCAATGTTTTTTGCAATAGTTTTTATAGTTGTTAAAAGCCTGTCCCAGTAGGGACAAGGACAGTGTCACTTCTCTTCCTAGCAAAATACACTGTCTCAAATTCATGCAGAGTGCAAGCAGTATAAGCAGCAAGGTGGGAAGGTGAATCACACCATAGCATTTCTGGGAAGGTCCTTCCACAGGGCATTGAATTCAGTCCTCCAGCAGAGAGCAGGGCTGCAATACAAATCCTTCCACAGCACTCTTCTAATCCACACGTTACAATAGCACTTGCAGACAACACATGTCCTACAGCAGGGTTTGAGCCACTACATCTGCAGTGCACAGTTGTGTGTCAAGTATCTCTAATGTTGGCAACTTTTCAATATTCCTACTCCTTATACCCTGCTATATTCTGGGCCTGCACAGTCATTTTCAAATCACCATGCCCCCTTTTTTAAGAAGCCCCACAATTTCGTTGTGGGGCATCTTAAGACCCTCTGTACCAAAATTAAATTTCACCTTGAGTAGGTAAGAAAAGTCTTGAGATAGCTTTGTACCCAGAGACACAGCTAAACACTACTCATGGAAAATGTGGGAAGATGAATTTTACACTTTGAAGGATGACACTTATCCCAGTCACTTCCCTTACCCTGAAGTGTTGTAAGGCATACCACAAGCTTGCAAGAGTTTGTAAAAAGAATGTCTTGTTATTTTGGTCTTCTGCCTGGTACGGGAATGATGAGCTTACATCTGTAACAGTCTGATAAATATCTCCCTCTGGAGACTTGTTTTATAAACTACATTTTAGCAATGGTTTTAACAGTAGTTAAAAGCCATCCTCTCTAGTCTGTCAAACAGACAACGATGCTACTTCTCCCCTTCCTAGCCAAACACGTTGTTTGAAATAAATATGGGACATAATCAAATGAACTTTTTGGTTTGTTTTCTTATGTAAAAGGAAGACTTTTTCCTATTTTAAGAAGAAGAAACATCTTCCTAATTTTTCCTCAGAAAGGGAAATGCCACCCATGGGGGCAAATCCAAGTAGTCAAGTGAGTTAATCCAATGAGAACTGATGCAACTACATTACAGCAAACTCCTTAGGAATAAGTTTGTTCTGCGTACCGCCAGTGCCCTAACAGCTCCAAACGTTAAAGGTTACATGACATACATACCAATACCAAGACACACGTGGCGAAGAACACGGATTGTGCTGAGCACAATATTTTCTCTCTCGGAACACAGCATCCTTACGAGATGGTTCACTCCGTTTGCTGAGAAAACGGCATTTCTCACGTCGCTAGGACCTTGCAAAAGTACTCCGAGTCCTTCTATTCCAACTTGGTGGAGCTTCCATGATACAGAGCGCAAAAAACCAACCAGCATGTTTACTCCTAAAATACAATAACAAGAGGTGTTAGTGTGTGGAAACCCTTTTCCTATCCCACTTTCAAACCAGAGCAAGGACTGGGCCTTCTTTCATGTTTGGAATTTGCCTAATACATGGCAGGGGCCACTGGAAACAAACAACACTGATTCTGAGCTAGGGTGACAAGAAAGTACCCTTGTAGGTGACAAGAATAATCCACTCTGATATACCATATATGATACTTTCCTGTGTAAGTACTACCAGTATAATAATTAATGGTAATTAATTGTGGAAGTACTACCAGTATAATGTTAATTATAATATCTAGCCCTTTTGGGGTGAGAAGATACACTCAGTTCAGGTTTGAAGTTTGTAAACAGGCAGCTCCAAGACTGCCAGGGATACTCAGGGCTTTTTCAAACTGAAGCAGAGGGAAATCTTATTATAATGCTGTCAGAATTCACTAATGCTACCGGAAACCTTGTGGCCAGTACTGAAAATAAAATTCCAGTCAATTTTGCTTTGTTACAACTCTGGAGAGCACAAGCAGAAATAAGCACAAGAGTAGACTAAGGGCCTCACCCAATTCATCACAATACTTAGAAAGAGCAAAAGATCCTGAGACATCTTGACATTTGCAAAGAATGATTCTCTAATTCTAATCTACAGCATTTAACATGCAAATCTGACAGAGAGCAAGTTTCTTTTGCTGCTTATACAAACCCATGCCTTCAGCCACTGTCCTCTGACATTCTGTTTCAGCTCCAGCTAAGGCCCATAAAGCATCGGCCACAACTTCTTGTACATGTGGACTCTGACTTTTTTGCAGTAGTTGAATGAGAGGTAACGTGCTCCCTAATTCCAAAACATTCTTTTGGGCATCAGGGTTTCCTTCAACTAGCCTGTTAGGGCGATAGAAAAATAACTGCTTTACTTTAAGTCAGTGGTTCTATATTACCGGGGCAAAGAAAATGGATAGAGGTGATTTATGACCAAAAGAACACTGGGAAGAGCCAGTAGTGCTGAAATACTGATCGCTCTCTTTGCCACACCACAGAAATAGTGTCAGGAGTCAGGGCAGCAGGCAGGCCTAAAGTGCCTCTAACTGACCTTGGTTAGCTGACTGCCAGCAGCCTACCTACATCCAACTAGCTCCAGTTGCCCGCAAGGGTGCCAGCTGGATGCTTTATAAACACCAGCCCTTTAGTGCCCAGCAAGCTTTTCATCAGGACAGATGCCTCCTTGCCTAGCCTCGGACTTGACCCCTAGTTTCCTGGGTCCATTAAGGCCTGGTACCTTCTTGTCAACTTCTTCCTGGCCCTGGCAAAGCCCAGATCAATAAGAAGAACTGGGCCAGGGAGAACCCAGGTGACTGTAGGGCTGTTTTCCTCCCGCTCCTCCGTGCACATACCCAGGGAGTTTCACTGGGCAACTTAGATACATCTGAGAGGCAGTGGGCACTAGCTGGTGTGCTCTGCTTGGTGTTCCCCTCTGGAGCCCTGGTTATTGAACTTTCTTCCCATTTTTTCATCCATTTTCCTCAGTATTCAGTTGTTACAGTCAGTGGCCTCCCTCTAACAACTGAGAGGGGTTTGTAGTTCCTTGGCGGGCCTGGGTTCACCATTTAAGTGTAGCAAATAAAGTGTAGCCCCATGTCCTACCTGTTGGTTCCTACTTTCCTGTTCCAAAGACCCTGCTTCCTGGCTTTGTTCTTGTTCCTGTTTGTGGGTTCCTAGTCTGTGATTTCTGTCCATGGGTTCAAAGACCTGGATGTCTGGCATGTCCAACACCCTGACAACACCGCTACATTTACATTTGTTAAGGTGGAGGGAAATCAAACATAAATGCCAGGCTAGACAGGATATACATCATGCAGTCTGCTGACCCCTTTGTCCCAGCCTTGCCAGTTCCTGAATCCACCCCCACCCCTGTTCCTAATGGCAGCCTAGTCCCATATCTTACAACATCTGACTCCTGGCTTTACTTTGGCAACTGCCCACATGCCAATCCTGTACAGACCCCCGGTTTTGGTCTGGATCTCTGCTCCTTGGCCTGTAGTTTGACCCCAAATGACTGCCTACATCTCAGTCCCTTACAGACACTGACCTCCTCATCCATCTGCTCCAGATCCCTTGACTCCTGACTCTAATTGGTACCCCTGCTTCCTTGCCCTTGTCTGCTCCTGGCCCCCTGGTTGTGACCCTGTGGAATCAAGCCACAACTGCCCATGTTCCAGTAGTTCCCCTAATTGAGCCAAGTTCCCTTCAAATCATGCAGCATTTGCTTAGTTAGTGTTATAAACCCTTGGAACCTAGCTGGAGAGATCAATACATTCATCACCGCATACGGAGAAAAACAGCATTCCTGGAGCTGTGTTGAGATCTGAGTTACACTTTTAACCTTTTGGGTTTCTATCCATCTTCAGGTTACGTGTGTTCCTAGCCATGCCACACACATCCCATGGACCTTTGGTTCTGAGGATCACTTAATCACACAAATAGGACAGGGTGATGCTACCTCTGGGACTGTGTCATTCTGCTCATAGAAGCTGTCTCCTTTCTTGTGATTTTCCAATGGAGCAACCATTAACTTTTGAAAAAAAAAATCAAATGGCAGAAACACAAAGGGTCTGATTCAGATTTCTTTCCTATTTTACCAGGATGTGACAGGTCAGGCTAAGGTGCTGGATGTTCTCTTGGATCTATGACAGTGCTTCCCAAACTCTTCCTCAGGGGCTCCATGGCCCAGAGGGCAGGACCTGGGGCGGGAGGGAGTGCTGTGCTGTGCTGTGCTGAGCCACCATGGCTGCCAAGCTGAGGCACCCCCCACTCACCTGGCAGCAGCGTGGACACAACTCCATGGCACCACCACTGCCATGCCTCACCTTGACGGCCATGGTGGTGCAGCGCTCCCACAACGGGTCCCACACACTGGGCTGCAGAGTTGGCTCCTTCCTGGAGCTGGTCCAGCCTGGCTACAGCCCCACACCCTGCTGTGGGAGCAGGAATCTCAGGGGGCATGTTTATTGCAACCCCACTGCCTGAAGTTGTGACCCCATTTGGGGTCGCAACTCACAGTTTGGGAACCGCTGATCTATGAACTGCCTTCCCCATATAGTCTACAATGCCTGTCTGCACGTTAATGGACATACTACATTTTCCCTAAACACCTATTATAAGAAAAAACAATCCCTAATTGCTATTTAAGTAATTTTTGTTTTTGTTCAACACAGATTTGCATTTTGAAACACCTAGAAACCCAAATAGAGCAAAACAAACTTGTGTAGTACAGTTTTGTGTAGAACCATTTCCAGTTGGCACAAATCATTTCCAGGGACAGTTCTGGCTGACATCCGCAAAGGGAGAGAGATTTGATTGATAAATAGGAATAGGGAAAAAAAGTAACATGGAAGTTGCAGTGGATTGAGTTGAGGTCAGTCTGGCCCAGCATCTGGATGCCAAAAGCAGCCATACGTGTTACCTGCCATACATGTTACCTGTGAAGAGCTTTTATTGCCTGCAGCTGGACATCTCTGGCCTTTGACTTCATCATGTGTATCAAAGGAACGGCTCCATCTACTGCGAGGAAAGCAGCCTGGTTGTTTGGATGGTTTGCCGTCACACTTTCCACAACTTCGCTCCATACAATCATCAGGCTTGGGGAGCGGCATTCCTTAGCCAGTTGCACCAGTCCTGACAGGAAGCCGTGCTGCTTTCCCATATCATCTTTACAGCTTTTGCAGGCTTCAGCCATCAAGGCCAGGCTCCTCAGACTACCTGCAGCAAGGGGCTCTCCACTCCCCATGCCCAGGCAGCTACTGCTGCCTCTCTGAGCTGCGCTGAGCACCCTCTGAAATGCTGGGATGGCGCCGGCTGAGTGAAGTTCCTCAGCAAAGCCCTTTTCACAAGCTATTTCACAAATGGCACCCACCACCCCACCCAGAAGCCCTTCCGCCCCCTCGCTGAGTAGGGAGACGAGAACCTGGATGCCTCCGTGCTTGGCCACCTCTTCCTTCCCACCTCTGCCTCTCAGGAGGCTGTTTAGCAGGTGCAGGGCCTGTTCCTTCACAGCGTGGCTGGTGTCTTTCCCAAGCACGCCAAGCACCGCAGGAACCAGCCCCTGCTCCAGCAAGCGGGGAGCTGGACATGGCGCTGCCCCGGATGCCGCGTCCATGAGGTGTGCCAGGGCCAGGCCTGCACTCAGCGCTTCCCTGTCCACGTCCGACTGGAGCAGAGCGATCAGCCTGGCGCACACATTGACCCGGGGGTCCCCGAGCGCCAGGAAATACCTGAGCAGAGCCCAGTGCCCGTGCAAGGCGCACAGCTCTGCCACGCCGTGCTGCTGGGCGTTCAGGGCTGCCACGTCCGCCCCTCGTCCCACCAGCAGCTCCGCCACTTGGTAGCTGGCGCTAGCGGCAGCCAGCAGGAGCGGGGTGTTTCTCAGCCCATCCCCAGTCGGCGCTTCCAGCCCCGCGGTGTCCAGAAGCCGGGCCACGGTGGCCGCGTGGTTGCGCACCGCGGCGTGGTGAATGGGGGCCCAGGCGCCCTCTTCCAGGCTGGTCATGGTGGACAGCGCCTGCATGGAGGGAGCTGGGCTCAGCAGCCTGCCCCAAGGTGGGCTTGCGAGCAGCACCCCCTTGCCCCAACCCTGGGGGCTTCTTACAGCCCTAAAGCAGGGGAGGGCGAGTCCCTGCCCCTGGCCAGGGGGCAGCGGGGCTGAGACCCGCGCACTCCCTGCTCCGCCCGGCCCCGGGTCC